TCAAAACCGGTTCAAACCCCCCATGGGAGCAATTCTTTTTTGCTCCCATGTGACTTTGGCATGTAAAAATAGGTAGATAAATAGATAAAATAGGTAGATAGGTAAATAAAAGTAGATAAATAGGTCATAATAATCGTAAATAGTAATAAAATAATAATAAAATAAAAATAGTAGTAGTAGTTGTTTGTTGTTGTTGTTGTATTAGTTATTTTTTTTTTTTGGTTGTTTTCGCTAATTAGTTATTAATAAATAGTAGTAGTAGTAGCAGTTTTGCTGTTGTATTAGTTATTGTTTTTTGTTGTTTTCACTAATTAGCATATACAATTAGATAATAATAGTAATAGTGGTGTTGTATTAGTTATGTTTGGTTATGTTTTCGAAATTGGCATGTATTATAAATGGTGGTACTGTTTTTTTCTTTGTATTTCGCCATTAGCATGTAAAATAAATAGATAAATACTAATTGAATAATTAAAATCTGGAGCAGAATCAAATGAGGGGTTCTATATAAGGTAAAATTTGAGATAATTCATGGCAACTTGGAACAACATCAAACAGAAACATCCAAAAATAATAAAACCAAGGTGTTCTGTATAAAATAAAATCTGAAAAAATTGCGGCAGTGTGGGACAACAAAGGAAAATAAATTTTTTATAAAATAAAATCCAGAAAATTCACGGCAACATGGAATAAAAAGACAGAAAAATAAAAGCAAGGTGCTCTCCATAAAATAAAATCCAAAAGAATTCATGGCAATATGGGGAACACTGTTTTATAAACTTACAAAGGAATAACAGACAAAACTTGATCAGTTGGGGTGGTGGGTTTGCAGAAATGGGCAGGAAATGAAGGAAAACAGGGCCTCACTCCCAGTGCATTGCCAAGAGGGAAAGGCATTTCTCATTCCTGTGTATGATTGGCAGCGCAGGGTTTGGGGCGCAGCCCCAAGGCTCTCCGCAGGAGTGGGGTTCGGGGCAAGGCCCTGATGGCCCTCCGCAGGAGCAGGGGTTCAAGGGGCTGGCCCCTTGGTGTAAAAAATAATCAAATATATCCAGGGGGGTTTGGGGCGCAGCCCCAGGCTCTCCGCAGGAGTGGGGCTTGGGGCAACGCCCCAATAGCTCTCCGCAGGAGCAGGGGTTCAAGGGGCTGGCCCCTTGGTGCATAAATAATCACCATATATCTCATTATTTCTTTAGCACATGGGGAACAATAATAACAAGGATGTCATTGCATGGGGCGGAGCCCCAATGGGGTCTGGGGCAACGCCCCAGGGGGGTTCGGGGCGCAGCCCCGATGCCCTCCGCAGGAGCTAGAGACCGAAGAACGCGTGGGTGTGCGAGGAACGAGCACCCCACGGGTTTAAGGTCTCTAGTTTCTTACGAAGTCGTTAGAAGCTAGGTCCTATTTATTATGTAATCGATTTAGTCTGGATGTAGCAATCTCACGGTCATCTGGCACTTGCCCCCTTATTCCTTATCTGGGGTCGATGGCGTCATCACGAGCTCGCAATCACATTCGCCGTTCACGGGAAGTGATCATTCTTGCAGGACGGGATTGGCAAATATTTTATGCCTTACTACTACTACCTAGCCTCATGTCGGAAAAAGTAGTAGGTACTAGTGTCCCATCTGACTTGTGGGGCCTAGCAACCCGCGGGACGCCTGCATCGATCAACTTTCATCTGCATGGGGTGCGCGCTACGGGCCGGGTGCAGTAACTTCCAAACCTAGCTTGAGATCGCATATGTGTTTTGCTGCCTTTATATGTCTCGTCGGACCGGTTATGCGAGCCCGTGCTTTGCTCCGTTGCATGAACTTGCTATGTAGAGTGATAATACCGTCATCAAACAACAGTACAGCTAGCGCTAGGCAGCTATATAGGTGAAACGACATCGTCTACATAAGCTAGTAGATTCACTGGGTTATAAACTGTCATCCGACCTTCTCCTCACGCAGCGCTAGAAATTCCAATGAACGACAACTAAGAATGGCGGTTCAACTCTGGACAACACAACAGGGTGTAAATGCTTACTTGTAATGTTTTCAAACGTCGTCGTCAAACCACCAACCAAGCGGCTTGTACGTGTCCCTCGAAGATCGGATTCCTCAGTGTCATTTCAGGCTTTTCCCCAGCGCTCGATCCCTAGCGCAAGCCATGAGCATCGGAAGAATCTCGCAACCGGTCATGTTTCTCAATTTCAAGCTCAGTGTCTGAGTTATCATCACTTTACTCTTTCTTGTTTCTTCCTTACATCTTTGTCTTAATTCGATGTGTGGGTGCACGGACATGTTTTGGAATTGTGTGTGCGCTTCCCGGGGGTCTTGATGATCGGCATGTCCGGGGCATTTGTGTTTAAGCGAGCGGAGGGGCCTGGACACACTGTGGGAAGTAAACTGTCGTAAAAAATCACAATACTTGTAGTTTTTAACCATTTACGGACGTTTTGGTGGTATTTTGAAGGAGGTAAATTACGACAGAATGCGCAGTGAAGTTAAATACCACAGTTGGAACGTTGTAAAACACAACTCAATCGATAGTCTCTTGAGTGCAATGGATTTTACATGAGTTGGGATGCACATTCGATGCGGAGAGTTGACGTTCAGCTAGCCATCATCATCCACACTAAAAATTGGCCTCGCAAGCTTGCCGCTGCGATCAATGATAGCCCAACGACGGCCAGAATTTGTCCCATAACAGAACCGGCCACAGACTGACGATACGGACGAAAGTGCAATGATTTGGGTGGTGTCAGAGAGCGTAGTGAAAGAAGTGGGCGATAATTCCACGTCCGAATAAGCGCCACTATTCACTGAAACTGTGGTCGGAATTGTCGGAGTCGTGCTTGGGTGTTGGCTCAAGTGCATCAAGTATGTCCGGGCCGGAAAACTGGATATGCCGTATAATTGTACGCTCTGAGGCCAACTGCATTACAGCAGGGACAAATTGCTGTTCCGGGGCATACACTTGGCGCTTAGGACTTAAATCGATCAAACGGCTTCTCGGCAGTTTCCGGTCCTTACTTCGTCCCCATCTCCCTCATCTGGACTCTCATATCAACTCTCAAATCCCCTACACCTATCTCCAAGCCTCCACCTACCATTCTACAGTAATTCTTTCTTGAGGTAGCACTTAGTAAGTGCTTATAGTTCTACCAGAACACCCGTACATGCCGCCAGCTGTACTCATGCCAATCCTCATGGAGGCTTCGTATTTGGACGTGTTTCCACGCGTCTTTACGTGTGATTTGCTGAGATGTGCCTTGCTAACAACAATTTATTTTATCCAGGGAATCATCATGACGCCAACAATAAGCAAGGTAACTCCCATCTCCCCAATCCTTTCCCTTTTTGATCCAAAGTGTCGTGAGAAATGCGCGAGGAAATCATATTCGTATGCTTAGTAAGTACTTTCTGGGGGCATGTCATCTGGGTATGCGCTCATTACCTACTGCAGAGGAGACGAATGAATCGTCAGAGCCAGACAACAGACTCGAAGCTGAGAGCAAGATAGGGCAAACCCGACACACCGATCCATGGTGGGAAAGCGGCACGCGGATCCGCAAAGCGTGGGGGTGTTAAAACGTATGCATATCATTTTTGATTTAATCTTCCCCTCATTTCTATTCCAGGAGGCGATCAAAATGCTCAAAGGCAGCTGGAATTTGATAGCGACAATGATAGTATCCAACCAGTCGGTAATTCAAAGCCAGCTTCGTCCATCGCAAAAAATGGACTCCCGCAGCTGTTTCCATGGCGGCCCCTCAAACCAAGAAAGCCCGAACCCAACTCACTAATGAGCCTGGCCCATCCCAGATGGCAAGGCCCCGACCTACGCGCAAGGGATGAAATCCCTTCACTTATCAGTTTGTGCTCTATGCAATTTTACTCTCAAATCAAACTCACCCCGCACCTTGTGCTCCCCAAACTCGAAACACTTTGCTGCATTCTGTTGTGCTATTTCCTCGTCGCTCACTGTGACAGCTCTTCTTTGCATCTTGCTCACTGGTCTGATTCGTGTCTGTTTCTGGCCTCATCTCTTGCGCGCTTTTCCAATTCCTCATCTCTGGCTTGCCACCGCTCCGATCATACCGCTATTTTGCATAAGTACAGCCTAATAAACTGAAGGCTATTGTCGTTGTAAACTACCACCGTTATAAGTATAAATAACCCTGAATTCTCGTGTTTTTCACCAACCATGAGTTGTCGCAAATTACCTACCCCATGAAGTAACATACCAAACAGGACGATGATAAACGGTCAGTTTACCATCATAAAACAATTAAAAAACAACAAAAAGGTGCATCTTTTACTCACGCTATTGTGATAATGGAATCTTGGTAAAACACTTCACACTTGATGATAAAATACTACTCAACTCGTAGTAAAGATAAGGGTATTTTACCATCTTTAAAGTGGTTTTTTACACTGCTCTAATTCCCTCTGTGGACATCAGGAGGAACTATTTTTATTCTATTTTTGCGTACCGGCAATACTAATTTCAGGCAATATCTTTTGAACCGCTTAGTAGTGCACCTTACGAAGAGCAGAACAGCTATGACGTACATATTACCTGCACAGCAGAGTCACTTCCCCAGCCCACAATTACATAACTTCTGATGCTGAAAACGTGTGAATATTTTCTCGCACACTTACAGTCATTCACCCCCCAATGGTGCAGATTTCACTAATCCAGGCCTCAGTGTAATGAAGTTCCATGAAAAAAATTGATAAATTTGAATAACATGAAGAACGTAAATATGAATCAGTGGCCAGCAATATTTTGAGTGGAGTCCTGTCATGAAGTGAGTATGGGAGTGAGTATGAAATGGGCGCTTTCACCCCTCAGTGGTGACCTGTGACAGAGTGTGACAGTGCGTTCGCATGCTCATGTTGGACCCCTGCTGACCCCATCAGCCACTTGTTCAGCACACCCTGGCACCTCCAGCATTGCAGGGGGCTTGTTCTGCTGGAGCTGTGGATAATTCTGAGCCATCCAACCCCTCATTTGGATTTCCGATGGCTTTGCCAGCACTCTTTTTCCTCTTGCCATTTCACCACCTCTGCTTTCTGTGTCTCATTGAACTTTCTCCATCCCTCCTTGGCCTCCTCCTTCAGCTTCTCCAGCTCGGCCTCATCCAGCCTCTGTTGAGTGTGCTCAGCTTGATCCCTCAAAAAACCTTCATGTGTCACAACGTGGCTGAACGTTCCCTTGATACGTCCACCTTCCTCTTTCTCTTTTGACTTTTCCAATTCCTCCTGCACTAGAAGTTGTGTCTGTGATTTAGACACATACATTCCTCCCAATGCCAACTGGGCATTTGCTGCATCCACCACATTAACAGCTCTTTCTACCAGTGTCTTTGCCTTCCAAAACTCATGTCACATTTCGTTGATCTCCTTCATCAATTCAGGGTGAGTCTTGTGCTCTGAGTTGTGATCATGTATCAGATCCCAATTGATAGGAGGAAGATCGCTGAGGTGCCCATATGCATGTTCAGGTAGTTTAAAGGTTGAACAAAGAGGTGAGGAAGATACAATAGAATTTGAGGATGAGGAGAATGACATAATATGTTCCAGGTCATCAACAGCACGCTTCTTTGCCCAAGAGTAGGAAGGAGGGAAGGTAGGAGTTTGACAACAAGTGTTGACTGTTGCAGCATCTGAGCCAGAAGGTTGCAGTGGCATGTGGACATGTGTTGTCTGAGACACAGCAAACAATAAGGGATTAATGATCGGTCCATCACACTCATTATTATCCACTTTGCTGTATGTTCCATCATGACCCCCTAGGTACATCTGAACATTCTGCAAGTCATCCATCAGTGAGGGGGTATCATCACGCTGGTACACATGGGCCATCAGCTGACCATGAAAGTGCATAATGTGCTTAACAGGTGAGGTCACAGGGAGGGGAAGGTCTCCCCGGGTGGAATGTTCAATGCTTGGAGCAAGTTGTTCAGGGTGGATGATGGAGGGATTAACAGTGTTATGGAAATGGGAATTTCCCATTTCTAGCCTCTTATGGGCTCTGTACAGTACAAAGTCATGTGATATGAAAATAATAACAACCTAACCAACTATTACCACCCAAAAACACCCGATGTCCATGTTATTGTAAACCCCACTGTTACAACATCTGTTACATTAATTGTAACATCTTCTCAATGTCACGGCCCCCTCCTGCACCCAGACGCTATAGAAATGGGCCAATTAGGCCCCATTTTTATAACAAACAGGGTAGACACCAGTCACTCAGAAACTGGTGATAATGTGAGTTGAGTTCACAGCCTCCATCCATGTGTGGCCAAAGACCAATAAGAATGATGACTTGTTCAGTTTTTTGGGGTAATTTTGCAAGTTGAATGTGTCCCATTGTTTAGAGAAGCTCCACTTCAAGAGGGAGAATATGATGACATCGAGTCCTTGAAGGACATGAGTTGTGTGTGCAGGATAACATATAATGATGATATTGTGGTTGTGTGCATAGGTTATAAAGTCAAGGCTGTAGTGCGAGTTATGTCCATCCACTATGAGAAGACAGGGGTGGCCAGCAGCTTTTCCCTGTGTAGCAGCATTAAGAGTTTGAAGCCAATCAAGGCCAATCTCATTGTCTGTCCACCCTTTCTCTGAAACAGTGACCCTAGAAAGTGGAAGTATAAGCATGTGCAGTGATATTATGGATAAGAAACTCACGCGGCCTCCAAAGGATTGTCCTTCAACCACTTGGAGTTCACATTCTGCCCTTTAAAGATGACAACTGGAGGCACTGAAGTGCCATCTGCACAGACAGTTACAATCACGCTCACATTCTCATGGTTCCCATCACATTGAATGTGTGCTATTTTTGTCATCTTGCGTGCAATGACTTTCCCAAATGGGAAGCTGCTTTCATCCATTGCATAGATATCCTCACGTCTAAATTTGAAATGGTCATACTGAGCTTGTGACAGCTGGAACCAGTGTCGCACAGCTGCAGGATTTACAGCACCACCCTGAATACTTTCAAGGTTGGTACTCCACTTGGCATCAAGTCGGTTTTTGTTGTGTACTAGAAAGCCATCAACCCAATTTTTACCGAGCCCAGTAAGGTTTGGGTGGCGTATCTGGGCAACTTCCAAGGCATATTCCTTCACACAATCACGGGTAGCAGGGAATCCACGGTCAGACATAAGGAGAAGGAATTCCACCAGGGTGTCACTCTCAATCTGATTCAGCCACGACCGGTTTATTGAGGCCTCGAGCCGACTTTTCCCACCACTCAGCCTCCGCATGAATGTAGAATAGGAAACATCACAATTAGAAGCATGTTCCCTGGTGCTGGGAGCTTTTTTGTGATTTTGTGTTGCATCCAGGACCTGAGATCTATATGAAATGATGGTGTTCTGCATGTGCAGCTCTGCTGCCTCAGCTGCAAGCTGCCTACGGCGCTCCAAAGAGTTGGCATGCCAGACCATTTGTCAAAAGAAGCAAGCAAAGCAATATTGGGGTTGGGGGATGTGGGAATGGTGATTTAATTTACAGATTGTTTGGGTAATGGATGAAAACATGCTTCCAACTTAGGTTCTGTGTCTCATCAAAACAAACAAATACTGGCACGTGTAACACTGGCCTTTTGCTCACTATCTGTCTGGCTAGCTATTGGTAAGATGAAGAGAGCAATGAAACTGGAGTGGTTAAGTTGCAAGCATGGCAACTCCTCACACCCAAGTTCCCTATGTTTCCTCGATTTTTTCCTTTACTTCTTGCCTGCTTGACATCAAACTCGGTACATAAGTAGTCCTAGCAACGACTTATATACAGACCAAATCTCATCACAAAGGGTGTGGGGGCTCGGAAGTTATGTGGTGATTTATCATTGGGGGTGTGTGTTGAAGTCACGAGTCACCGGAACCTTCCGGGGGATTCTGGATTGTTGTGGGAAATCGCCAGAATATTCCTGCCCTGTCTGTGCTTGCGTACGCGCGCTTGCACAGCTACTTACTTTACGTATAATATCATTGTAATACATTTTGTGTATGTATAAATATGCACAGACGTGCGTTGAGCAAAATTATCAGAAAAGTTTCTAGCTTACCTCTGGTCTTGCGAGTATAACCGCTGAAGTAAGCGGATTGCCTTATCAGGAATCCCTACATTACGACAGTGTGTCTCATTGAGGGGTGAATGACTGTATCGGTTATATCGGTTACTTCTCTCCTAATCACGTTGCTTTCACGTTACCATCTCATAAGTGTTGAATGTTTGCCCTTGTGGACAGTAGTCTGTGTGCTAAGTCCGACAATGTCACTTGTCGAGGTTGAACTTCACCCTAGCTTCCGTGTGAACAGTTCAAATGTGCTTGTTACCGGGAACAATGGGATCGTGTTAGCGCCGAGGTCTTCAATGCAGAATCGATTCATACTGACCAACACCCAGCTCAGACCTTCATTTCTTCCCACCTTTCAGGCATGACTTCACATCGATCTGCCAAGATTTGCCCCTTGCTTTGTTCACGATATCCATGTCAGTGCTGATGTTCATCATGATTATCACTTTGCAATCAACTGCCAGTTCCACGATAAGTCCCAATCCTCTTTGACGTTTTGACCTTGTGTTAAGCAAACTACTGCAGTAAAGTGGTGCGCCTCCACCTTGTCCTACTGCTTTGAATTGATGGAAATCCCCACAGATGATGACACCCAACCCTCCCCGAGATTTCGTTGTTGCTTATTATGCTGATGGATTAGCCCCAGAATCGTGGACATTCGTGCAGATAGCGTTCGTGACACCATCGAAAACTCGTCGATAATCAGATATTCCATTGGCTACCACACTCGTGGAAGCTCCTCAATCTTCCGCCCACTTGGCATCCTTACTCCCTGCACACTTAATTCAAAAAGGACATGCTGCATCTTACCACCAATAAAACTCGCTGCTATCCCTGTGTAAGCTCCCACTGCAATCTTACATATCTGCAGCGTTATGTGTTTGGAATACTCCATCACTGGATGTATCACTCGTGATTTCCCAGTGCCACCTTCTCCTGTCAAAATCATTCGTGGCTCTTCTTTTCAGCCAAATGGTACTATATGCTTGCAGCTGTCCCTCGTGGAAACTGGACACATCTATGGGTTCCGCAGTTCCTTCCGCGCTTCCTAAATACTCGGTGGTACATCTCTGCGTACCTGCTCCATCGAGCTTGATCCTGTCAGGGACGCGTCCGGGGTTGAGGCGGTCCGGGCGTAGCGTCCGGTGCTGAGGACCTCACGGGGGGTAGATCGGGCATGTGTACTGGCAGGCCCGATGTGGGACAGCGATCCCTGGCCACTTAGACTGAAGTGGGAATGTTGAGTTATTATTAAAAAGGGAAACTATGCTACTTACCTGAAGTGGGAATGTTGAGAAGAAGGTTACTTCTTCAGTTCCCACCCCAGGTGTGTTTATATACATGCAGCTTGGGTCACATGAGGTCCGCCACATCACCCCGCATACAGCCACGGTCACCCAGGTGTCCCCATGGGGGATCCTGAGGGCGTATGCTGCACGTGTGCACACTAGGTTGCACCCTAGAGCTGTCCAGGGTCGTCCGGGGCTAGGCATGTCGTGTGCGCGTTGCGGGCAGGTCAATAATACATAGATATAAGGGAAAGGTCGTCCATGTGGAATAGAAATAGAAATGGGAGAGGGATAGAGGGGGAAGGGATATGAAGGAAGGGTGCAGGGTGGGAGAAGGGGTACTGGGTGAGGTGGGTCCGGGTGGAGGCGGGTCAGGCGGGTGTGCCCTGACATCACCCCCTCCTTAAGCCGCTTCGCCTCGAAGTGGCCAGGGGGTTTTCCCTTTCTCTCCCTGGGGCTTGGGGGTGTGCCTGGTGGAACTCTTCGATTTGGTCGGGAGCGTGTGTCAGCCAGTCTCGGGTGTCAGGGCACAGCCCCTGACCCCACACACCCTCAGGTACCCTTCCCCCATTTTCTCCTGTTTTTCCCTTCACTGTTCCACAATCCCGCATGCATGCAGACCGTGGGAACGTTCTGGGCGAGTTACTCGCCCAGAAACCATCACAGCCACAACCGTGGGAACTTTCTGGGCGAGCAGCTCGCCCAGAATCTTCCCACGGGGGGGGTGCCAATTATGGAAAGTCGGCAAAGAGCCGAAAACTGTATAGTTCCCGGCTCCCATTTGTAGCGGCTTCACAGGAGGTTGAGAAGGTTACCCTTCTTCTCAACTCATTTCCTGTGAAGGCTGGGGCTAGCCCCCTCAGTGAGTTTGAAGACCTCGGACTGGGACTAGATACCCCAGCGACTCGGAGGATCCCCCTGGGCCCATCACGGAACGAGGGCCGGGCCCTGACAGCAGAAG